TGATTCTTGCCTTCAATTGAAGCAGGTTCTTGGTGTTCCTTTACATATTCTGCCAGGGCATTTCTTCTTCTTCAACTGCTTGTTTCATCATCATCATCATCATCATCATCATTACAAACTGCCTATGTGGAGGCCTGGCTATAATGCAGTTTCACCCCACTGGAACTGCTGTGGCGCAATGTTATGGAATCAGAGGGTTTGGGGTTTTGCAAAGCCTTTAGCCTTGTCTGCGCTCTCGAGTGCTTGTTCCTCACCAAACTACAAATCCCAGGATTCTATAGCATTGAGCCATGACAGTTAAAACAGGGTCAAAGTTAATTAATTCTATAGCGTAGATGCGTCCTCAGCTGCTGGCAGCAAGAGCATCAACCTGAAATAGGCCGGTGTATTTTGCCCTGTCTCTTTTAGAATCAGAAGAGTTAGAAAAGACCCCACAGGCCAATCAAAGCCTTCCCAACAGATAGCCATACAGAGTTAGGCTCTCATGTGGAAAGCTCTCCTTTCTTGCACTGAAGACAACCCACACTGCTAAATCTGGCACCAAGCCCAGGACTTGGGAAGCACGTCTGCTGTTGGAAGCTCCGGCCAATCTGAATTTCCCCCGCAGTTTCAAAAAGCAACAGAGCTGGCCAATGGCGAGCCTGGAAATCCATGCGCACTGTGCTTCAAAAGCTGGCAACCCTTCAATGACGCCAGAGGCTGTGGTTGTCGGAAGAGGGAAGTGACATGACTCAAAAAAAATTATGAAAGCAACTGAGTTACTTCATTGTGTTCAACGGACTCTCTCATTTGAAATTGAGCTTTTTGGGTGGGCAGTTTCCAAGCTGAACTGCTTGAAAAGAAACTTAAATCACTTGGGCATGTTTTTTTGTTTACTGTCCAGTAAACAAATATGAATATACTAGCCATCCCCTGCCAGGCGTTGCTGTGGCCCAGTCTGGTGATCATAGAATCATAGAATCAAAGAGTTGGAAGAGACCTCGTGGGCCATCCAGTCCAATCCCATTCTGCCAAGAAGCAGGAATATTGCATTCAAATCACCCCTGACAGATGGCCATCCAGCCTCTGTTTAAAAGCTTCCAAAGAAGGAGCCTCCACCACACTCTGGGGCAGAGAGTTACACTGCTGAACGGCTCTCACAGTCAGGAAGTTCTTCCTCATGTTCAGATGGAATCTCCTCTCTTGTAGTTTGAAGCCATTGTTTCGCGTCCTAGTCTCCAGGGAAGCAGAAAACAAGCTTGCTCCCTCCTCCATCGTGACTTCCCCTCACATATTTATACGTGGCTATCATGTCTCCTCTCAGTCTTTTCTTCTTCAGACTCAACATGCCCAGATCTTTAAGCGCTCCTCATAGGGCTTTCTTCTCCAGACCCTTGGTCATATAGTTGCCCTCCTCTGGACACATTCCAGATTGTCAATATCTCTCTTGAATTGTGGTGCCCAGAACTGGACCATATTCCAGGTGTGGTCTAACCAAAGCGGAATAGAGCATGGGGAGCATGACTTCCCTGGATCTAGACACTATGCTCCTCTTGATGCAGGCCAAAATCCCATTGGCTTTTTTTGCCGCCACATCACATTGTTGGCTCATGTTTAACTTGTTGTCCACGAGGACTCCAAGATCTTTTTCACACGTACTGCTCTCGAGCCAGGCATTCCCCCATTCTGTATCTTTGCATTTCGTTTTTTCTGCCTAAGTGGAGTATCTTGCATTTGTCCCTGTTGAACTTCATTTTGTTAGTTTTGGCCATTCATCTCTCTAATCTGTCAAGATCGTTTTGAATCCTGCTCCTGTCCTCTGGAGTATTGGCTCTCCCTCCCAATTTGGTGTTGTCTGCAAACTTGATGATCCTGCCTTCGAACCCTTCATCTAAGTCATTAATAAAGATGTTGAACATTTTAAGTTCCTTCTGCCTTTTTTGGGGGGGCGGGGGGGGGGGGTGTCACTTTTTATTGATGGTCACTTGTTGGTCTGTTAAGGGTATAGTGTCTGAATTTCATGTCAATTCGTCCAGTGGTTTTTGAGTTCTGTTAATCCCACAAATGAACATTACATTTTTATTTATATAGATTATTTCTATAGGGTAGATCAGTGTTTCTCAACCTTCTTAATGTTGTGACCCTTTAATGCAGTTCCTCATGTCATGGTGACCCCCAACCGTACAATTATTTTGCTGCTGCTTCATAAATAATTTTGCTCTTGTTATGAATGTAAGTATCTGATATGTGGGATGTATTTTCATTCACTGGACCAAATTTGGCACAAATCCTTGATAATCTCAAATTTGAATACTGGTGGGGTTGTGGGGGGGATTGATTTTGTCATTTGGGAGTTGTAGTGCTGGGATTTATAGTTCATCTACAATCAAAGGAGGAGACAGGAAAGCCTAGAGAAGACAATTATGCTGGGGAAAGTGGAAGGCAAAAGGAAGAGGGGCCGACCAAGGGCAAGATGGATGGATGGCATCCTTGAAGTGACTGGACTGACCTTGAGGGAGCTGGGGGTGGTAACGGCCGACAGGGAGCTCTGGCGTAGGCTGGTCCATGAGGTCACGAAGAGTCGGAGACGACTGAACGAATGAACAACAACACAATCAAAGAGCATTCTGAACTCCTTCAACAATGGAATTGAACCAAAGTAGGCACACAGAACTCACTCATCAAATGCATATTGACTCACTCATCAAATGCAAGATTCCAGAGCACACAGAACTCCCATGACTAACAGAAAACACTGAAGAGTTTGGTGGGCACTGACCTTGAGTTTGGGAGTTGGAGTTCACCTACATCCAGAGATCACTGTGGACTCAAACAATGATGGATCTGGACCAAAATTGGCACGAATACTCAACATGCCCAAATGTGAACACTGGTCGAGTTTGGGGGAAATAGACCTTGACATTTGGGAGTTGTAGTTGCTGGGATTTGTAGTTCATGCACAATCAAAGAGCATTCTGAACCCCACCAGCGATAGAATTGGGCCAAACTTCCCACACAGAATGCCCTCTGCGTATGCTCAGAGGAACCCCGGACAGTCCCATCATCCTTGTAAACAGAGGAGTGGACTCTGTAATCTTTTCAGGGAGGCGAATACACTCTGCTTATGCTCAAAGGAACTGTCTCATCTTTGCAGCATAGAATCCTAGAATCAAAGAGTTGGAAGAGACCTCCTGGGCCATCCAGTCCAACCCCATTCTGCTAAGAAGCAGGATTATTGCATTCAAAGCACCCCTGACAGATGGCCATTCAGCCTCCATTTAAAAGCTTCCAAAGAAGGAGACTCCACCACACTCCCTCCGGGGCAGAGAGTTCCACTGCTGAACGGCTCTCACAGTCAGGAAATTCTTCAGGCAGACTCCAATCTTTCCTCAGTGGAGGCGCAAATGCACTCTGCGTATGCTTGGAGGAACCTTTGTCAGCCTCATTATCCTTGTGTGCAGAGGAGAGGACTCGGCCATCTTTACAAGGAAGCACATGCCCTCTGGGTATGCTCAGAGGAACCTCCGACAGTCTCCTCATCGTTGTGGGTAGACAACAGGACTCTGTGTATGCTCAGAGGAACTGTCTCATCCTTGTGGCAGACTCTAATCTTTTCTCAGTGGAGGAGCAAATGCACTCTGCGTATGGTCAAAGGAACCCTGGAAAGTCATTGTAGGCAGACGACAGGACTCAAATCTTTTCAAGTGAGGCGAATGCACTCTGCGTATGCTCAGAGGAACTGTCTCGTCTTTGCGGCAGACTCTAATCTTTGCACAGTAGAGGAGAGAATGCACTCTGCTTATGCTCAGAGGAACCCTGGACAGTCATTGTAGGCAGATGACAGGATTCTGTTATCAGTGATGTGAATGCACTCTGCGTATGCTCAGAGGAACCCTGGACAGTCATTGTAGGCAGACAACAGGATTCTGTTATCAGTGATGTGAATGCACTCTGCTTATGCTCAGAGGAACCCTGGACAGTCATTGTAGGCAGACGACAGGATTCTGTTATCAGTGATGTGAATGCACTCTGCTTATGCTCAGAGGAACCCTGGACAGTCATTGTAGGCAGACAACAGGATTCTGTTATCAGTGATGTGAATGCACTCTGCGTATGCTCAGAGGAAACTGGCAGTCATAGAATCATAGAACCCTAGAATCAAAGAGTTGGAAGAGACCTCGTGGGCCATAATCCAGTCCAACCCCATTCTGCCAAGAAGCAGGAATATTGCATTCAAATCACCCCTGACAGACGGCCATCCAGCCTCTGTTTAAAAGCTTCCAAAGAAGGAGCCTCCACCACACTCCGGGGCGGAGAGTTCCACTGCTGAACGGCTCTCACACTCAGGAAGTTCTTCCTCATGTTCAGGTGGAATCTCCTCTCTTGTAGTTTGAAGCCATTGTTCTTAGACTTCGGGGCAGCAGAAAACAAGCTTGCTCCCTCCTCCTCCCTGTGGCTTCCTCTCACATATTTATACATGGCTATCATGTCTCCTCTCAGCCTTCTCTTCTTCAGGCTAAACATGCCCAGCTCCTTAAGCCGCTCCTCATAGGGCTTGTTCTCCAGACCTTTGATCATTTGAGTCGCCCTCCTCTGGACACATTCCAGCTTAGAGTCAATATCTCTCTTGAATTGTGCTGCCCATGATAATGGGCAGCCGTCAGGACTCCAATCTTTCCAGTGATGCGAATGCACTCTGCGTAGGCTCAGAGCAACAGTCTCATCCTTGTGGCAGGCTCCGTGGAGGAGCGAATGCACTCAGAGGAACCCTTGACAGCCTCATTATCCTTGTGTGCAGAGGAGAGGACTCGGCCATCTTTACAAGGAAGCACATGCCCTCTGGGTATGCTCAGAGGAACCCTCTCCAGGCTCCTCCTCCTCCTGCTGCTGGAGGAGTCCCCGCCTGCGAGGAGGAGGAGGAGGAGGAGGAGGAGGAGGAGGAGGAGGAGGAGGTGGGCCTGGCTGGGGCCGTCCCCTCCCTCTCTCCCTCTCTCCCTCCCTCCCTCCCGGCCTTTCTGCTCGGGCTTCCTTCCTCGGCGGCACCGGCGATGACGGCGGGTCCGGGGCCCAGCTGAGCCGGGGAGCCCTCTGGCCGGAGCCATGCCGGACCTCAGCCCGCCTCCCGGCTGAAAGAAGGAAGGAAGGAAGGAAGGTGCGAAGGTACGGAGGTACGAAAGCCTGCGGGAAAGGGCTCGGGAGACACCCCGGGGCTTCTGGGCTGGGTTGGGGGGTCTTCCTCAGCTGCAGAGAGCCTTTGGGGGGTCCCTGGCAGGCATCGGGGGTCTTGGGAGGAAAGAGGAGGCAGCCTGGGTCCTGTTTGGGGGTCTCCTCTGGAGACACGTGTGCTTTGGGGTGCCTCAGAAGGTATGAGCAAGCATGTGGGTTGTTCTGGGTGTTGGGGGGTCCCCATTAGATGTGGAGGGGCTTTGCAGGACATCTGGGGGTCCCTCTAAGGCATGCAAAGGCATGAGGGGCTTTGAGATGTGTTTTGGGGGCTCCTTGGAGGATGGAGAGAGGCAAGAGGAGTTTTGGGGTCTGCTTTGGGGTCCTTGTGTGGAGGCACCTGTGGTTTGAGATCCTTGTAAGGCCTGAGGTCCTTGTCAAGGTGTAGGCGTTTTGGGGGCACCTTTGGGGGTCCCTGTGAGGCCTACTGAGGCATCGGGGGTCTTGGCAGGGTATCGGGAGGAAAGAGGAGACAGCCTGGGTTCTGTTTGGGGGTCTCCTGTGGAGACACGTGTGCTTTGGGGTTCCTCATAGGGTATGAGCAAGCATGTGGGTTGTTCTGGGGTGTCGGGGGTCCCCATTAGATGGGGAGAGGCATGAGGGTCTTTGCAGGACATCTGGGGGTCCCTCTAAGGCATGCAAAGGCATGAGGGGCTTTGAGATGTGTTTTGGGGGCTCCTTGGAGGATGGGGAGAGGCAAGAGGAGTTTTGGGGTCTGCTTTGGGGTCCTCATGTGGAGGCACACGTGGTTTGGGATCCTTGTAAGGCCAGGGGAAGCCTTAGGGTGTTTTGGGGGTCCTTGTCAAGGTGTAGGCATTTTGGGGGCACCTTTGGGGGTCCCTGTGAGGCCTGCTGAGGCATCGGGGGTCTTGGCAAGGTATCGGGAGGAAAGAGGAGACAGCCTGGGTTCTGTTTGGGGGTCTCCTGTGGCTGTTCTGGAGTGTTGGAGGGTCCCCATTAGATGTGGAGGGCCATGAGGGGTTTCGGAATACATTTGGGGGTCCCCCCAAGGCGTGCAAAGGCAGATGTGTTTTGGGGCTCCTTGGAAGGTGTCGGGAGGCAAGAGGGCATTTTGGGGTCTGCTTTGGGGTCCTCTTGTGAAGTCGCATGTGGTTTGGGATCCTTGTAAGGCCAGGGGAGGCCTTGGGGTGTTTTTGGGGGCCTGAGGTCCTTGTCAAGGTGTAGGCGTTTTGGGGGCACCTTTGGGGGTCCCTGTGAGGCCTACTGAGGCATCGGGGGTCTTGGCAGGGTATCGGGAGGAATGAGGAAACAGCCTGGGTTCTGTTTGGGGGTCTCCTGTGGAGACACATGTGCTTTGGGGTTCCTCAGAAGGTATGAGCAAGCATGTGGGCTGTTCTGGAGTGTTGGGGGTCCCCATTAGATGTGGAGGGGCAGGAGGGTCTTTGCAGGACATCTGGGGGTCCCTCTAAGGCATGCAAAGGCATGAGGGGCTTTGAGATGTGTTTTGGGGGCTCCTTGGAGGTTGTAGAGAGGCAGGAGGAGTTTGGAGGTCTGCTTCAGGGATCCTTGTGTGGAGGCACCTGTGGTTTGGGATCCTTGAAAGGTGTGGGGAGGCCTTGGCGGGGTGTTTTGGGGGATCCTTGTCAGGTATAGGGAAATGCCTGAGGTTTTGGGGTGTGTTTTGAGGATCTTTCTAAAACATAGGGACTCATGAGGACTTTGGAATGCATTTGGGGACTTCTTGGAAAGTGTAGGGAAGCAAAAGGACATTTTGGGGTATGCTTGGGGGTCCTCTTGTGAAGGCACATGTGGTTTGGAACCTTTGTACGCCCTGGGGAGACTTCAGCGGATGCTTTAGGGGGTCCATTTAAAGGTGTAGGCATTTTGGGGGCACCTTTGGGGGTCCCTGTGAGGCCTGCTGAGGCATCGGGGGTCTTGGCAAGGTATCGGGAGGAAAGAGGAGACAGCCTGGGTTCTGTTTGGGGGTCTCCTGTGGATATATGTGTGCTTTGGGGTTCCTCATAAGTTATGAGCAAGCTTGTAGGCTCTTCTGGAGTGTTGGAGGGTCCCCATTAGATGTGGAGGGCCATGAGGGGTTTCGGAATACATTTGGGGGTCCCCCCAAGGCGTGCAAAGGCAGATGTGTTTTGGGGCTCCTTGGAAGGTATAGGGAGGCAAGAGGAGTTTGGGGGTCCACTTTGAGGATCCTTGTGTGGAGGCACATGTGGTTTGGGATCCTTGTAAGGCCTGGGGAGGCCTTGGGGTTTTTGGGGGGTCCTTGTCAAGGTGTAGGCATTTTGGGGGCACCTTTGGGGGTCCCTGTGAGGCCTGCTGAGGAATGGGGGTCTTGGCAAGGTATCAGGAGGAAAGAGAAGGCAGCCTGGGTTCTGTTTGGGGGTCTCCTGTGGAGACATGTGTGCTTTGGGGTTCCTCATAGGGTATGAGCAAGCATGTGGGCTGTTCTGGAGCATTGGAGGGTCCCCATTAGATGTGGAGAGTACATCTGGGGGTCCCTGTAAGGCTTGCAGAGGCACGAGGGGCTCTGAGGTGTGTTTTGGGGGCTCCTTGGAAAGTGTAGGGAGGCAAAAGGACATTTAGGGGTATGCTTTGGGGGTCTTTATGTGGAGGTAGATGTATTCTGGGGTCCTTGTAAGCTGTGGGAAGCACAAAAGGGGTTTGGGGTCTCCCTGTAAAGCATAGGGAAGCCTCCAGGATTTTCTGGGGCTTGAGGACCCCATTAGATGTTCACAAGGCATTTTGGGGGCACCTTTGGGGGTCCCTGTGAGGCCTGCTGAGGCATCGGGGGTCTTGGCAAGGTATCGGGAGGTATGGAAGCAAAAAGAGTTTGGGGGTGTTTGGAGGTCCTTGTGTGGAAGCACATGTGATTTGGCGTCCTTGTAAGGTCTGGAGAGGCTTTAGGGGGTGTTTTTTGGGGGGGGGGTCCTTAGTTTGCATTGCAACACCTGAGGTTTTGGGGTATGTTTTGAGGGTCTTCATTAAACGTAGGGACCCATGAGGACTTTGAGGTGTGTTTTGGTGACTCCTTGGAAAGTGTAGGGAAGCAAAAGGACATTTTGGGGTCTGCTTTGGGGTCCTTATGGGAAGGCACATGCGGTTTGGGATCTTTGTAAGGCTTGGAGAGATATGAGCGGATGCTTTAGGGGGTCCATTTAAAGGTGTAGGCATTTTGGGGGTCCCTGTGAGGCCTGCTGAGGAATGGGGGTCTTGGCAGGGTATCAGGAGGAAAGAGAAGGCAGCCCGGGTTCTGTTTGGGGGTCTCCTGTGGAGACATGTGTGCTTTGGGGTTCCTCATAGGGTATGAGCAAGCATGTGGGCTGTTCTGGAGTGTTGGAGGGTCCCCATTAGATGTGGAGGGGCAGGAGGGGCTTGGGAGTACATCTGGGGGTCCATCTAAGGCAGCATTTCTCAACTTGGGGGTCAGGACCCTTGGGGAGGGGGTCCCGAGGGGGTGTCAGAGGGGTCACCAAAGACCATCACAAAACACAGTATTTTGTCTTGGTCATGGGGGTTCAGTGTGGGAAGTTTGGCCCAATTCTGTCTTTGGTGGGGTTCAGAATGTTCTTTGATTGTAGGTGAACTATAAATCCCAGGAACTACAACTCCCAAATGTCAAGGTCTATTTTCCCCAAACTCCACCAGAGTTCACATTTCAGTGTATTGAGTATTTGTGCCAAGTTTGGTCCAGATCCATCATTGTTTGAGTCACATTGCTCTCTGGATGTAAGTGAACTACAACTCCCAAACTCAAGGTCAATGCCCACCAAACCCTTCCAGTATTTTCTGTTGGTCATGGGAGTTCTGTGTGCCAAGTTTGGTTCAATTCCATCGTTGATGGAATTCAGAATGCTCTTTGATTGTAGGTGAACTATAAATCCCAACAACTACAACTCCCAAATGTCAAGGTCTATTTTCCCCAAACTCCACCAGTGTTCACATTTGGGCATATTGAGCATTTGTGCCAAGTTTGGTCCAGATCCACCATTGTTTGAGTCTACAGTGTTCTCTGGATGTAGGTGAACTACAACTCCCAATCTCAAGGTCAATGCCCACCAAACCCTTGCAGGATTTTCTGTTGATCATGGGAGTCCTGTGTGTAACGTTTGGTTCAATTCCATCGTTGGTGGAGTTCAGAATGCTTTTTGATTGTAGGTGAACTATAAATCCCAGCAACTACAACTCCCAAATGTCAAGGTCTATTTTCCCCAAACTCCACCAGTGTTCACATTTGGGCATATTGAGGATTTGTGCCAAGTTTGGTCCAGATCACCATTGTTTGAGTCTACAGTGTTCTCTGGATGTAGGTGAACTACAACTCCCAATCTCAAGGTCAATGCCCACCAAACCCTTGCAGGATTTTCTGTTGATCATGGGAGTCCTGTGTGTAACGTTTGGTTCAATTCCATCGTTGGTGGAGTTCAGAATGCTTTTTGATTGTAGGTGAACTATAAATCCCAGCAACTACAACTCCCAAATGACAAAATCAGTCTCCCTCCAACCCCACCAGTATTCCAGTTTGGACATATTGGGGATTAACAGCTGGTAGGCTGTTAGGAGTGATGGGACTTGGAGTCCAAAACACTTGGAGCGGCCAAGTTTCCCATGCTTTTTGTAAAGTGTAGGCCGTGAGGTTTGGAGTTTTCAAACTCATGTAACTACTCCATGACACATTGTTAAACAACCCGAGACTCTGTATCACACCCCCTCCTCGTGTATTGATTGTATTCAGAAAATGACCACAAGCACAAAACAAAATGCACAACCATTCAAATATATTCAAATTTGGGCTTTTAAAAATGGATTACTCTTTCCCTGTGGCTCAGTGTGTGTGTGTGTGTGTGTGTGTGTGTGTGTGTGTGTGTGTGTGTCCCTCGTGGGCCACATAAAAGGACACAGAGAACCAGCTTTGGACCGCAGGCCTTGAGTTTGACACATTATTGACAAGCTGGAATGTGTCCAGAGGAGGGCGACACAAATGATCCAGGGTCTGGAGAACAAGCCCTATGAGGAGCGGCTTAAGGAGCTGGGCATGTTTAGCCTGAAGAAGAGAAGGCTGAGAGGAGATATGATAGCCATGTATAAATATGTGAGAGGAAGCCACAGGGAGGAGGGAGCAAGCTTGTTTTCTGCTTCCTTAGAGACTAGGACGCAATGGAACAATGGCTTCAAACTACAAGAGAGGAGATTCCATCTGAACATGAGGAAGAACTTCCTGACTGTGAGAGCCGTTCAGCAGTGGAACTCTCTGCCCCAGAGTGTGGTGGAGGCTCCTTCTTTGGAAGCTTTTAAACAGAGGCTGGATGGCCATCTGTTAGGAGTGTTTTGAATGCGATTTTCCTGCTTCTTGGCAGGGGGTTGGACTGGATGGCCCACAAGGTCTTTTCCAAACACAATGTTTCTATGATTCAGTGATTCTATAAATACTAACTAACCACTGTAAAGATTTGAAGATTGAATGTGAGAATCATAGTTTGTATAATATAGTAATAATAATAATAAAACTTTATTTATACCCCGCTATCATCTCCCCAAGGGACTCGGTGCGGCTTACATGAGGGCAAGCGCACAGTACATCAGTAAACAAAGGCAATAACAAAAACAATCAATACAACACAATTAATATAAATCACTTAAACAATAAACAGTAAACAATAACACACAAGCATTTAAAAACCTATGGCCAGGCCAAATAGGGTTTAGAGATCTCTGGAAAGTCCGGAGTGGGAGAAAGAACTCTTGTCTGCTTGTGGCAAGTGTGAATGTTGCAGTTAGCCACCTTGATTAGCATTGAATGGCTTTGCAGCTTGAAAGCCTGGCTGCTTTCTACCTCGGGGAATCTTTTATTGAGAGTTGTTAGCTGGCCCTGATTGTTTCCTGTATTTCTCCCACCCTGGACATTATTCCACAGATATATAAAACTCACTTGCCTAGTTTCCAACAGACCTCACAACCTCTGAGGATGCCTGCCATGGATGCGGGTGAAACATCAGGAGAGAATGCTTCCGGAACATGGCCAGACAGCCCAGAAAACTCACAGCAACCCAGTGTTAGCTTTGTATTTCTAAATGGCAGGGGGTTGGTCTAGATAAGGTATGGGCAAACTTTGCTCCTCCAGATGTTTTGGACTTCAAATCCCACAATTCCTGGCCTCAGACCCTTTCCTTTTCCACGCCTTAGCGTCTTCAGAGGTTGTGAGGTCTATTGGAAACTAAGCAAGTGGTTTTTATATATCTGTGGAATGATGTCCAGGTGGGAGAAAGAACTCTTGTCTGCTGGAGGCAGGTGTGAAAGTTGCAATTGGCCAGCTTGATTAGCATTGAATAGCCTTGCAGCTTCAAAGCCTGGCTGATTTCTGCCTGGGGGAATCCTTTGTTGGGAGGTGATGGTGTTTTTTTTTTTTGGTTGGGTCAGGAGTGACTTGAGAAACTGCAAGTCGCTTCTGGTGTGAAAGAATTGGCCGTCTGCAAGGACGTTGCCCAGGGGACATTGCCTGGATGTTTTGATGTGTTACCATCCTTGTGGGATACTTCTCTCATGCATCCGCAATGGGGAGCTGGAGCTGACAGAGGCAGCTCACCCTGGAATCGAACCTGCGACCTGTAGCATTCAGTCCTGCTGGCAATATTTGTGAAATGATGTCCAGGGTGGGAGAAAAATAACTCTTGTCTACTTGAGGCAATTGGCCAGCTCGATTAGCACCGAGTAGCCTTGCAGCTTAAAAGCCTGGCTGGTTGCTGCCTGGAGGAAATCCTTTGTTGGGAGGTGTTAGAACTCTTATCTGCTTGAGACAATTGGCCAGGTCGATTAGCACTGAGTAGCCTTGCAGCTTCAAAGCCTGGCTGGTTGCTGCCTAGAGGAAATCCTTTGTTGGGAGGTGTTCGGACTCTTATCTATTTGAGGCAATTGGCCAGCTCGATTAGCACTGAATAGTCTTGCAGCTTCAAAGCCTGGCTGGTTCCTGCCTAGAGGAAATACTTTGTTGTGAGTTGTTAGAACTCTTGTCTGCTTGAGGCAATTGGCCAGCTCGATTAGCACTGAATATCCTTGCAGCTTCAAAGCCTGGCTGGTTGCTGCCTAGAGGAAATCCTTTGATGGGAGGTGTTCGGACTCTTATCTATTTGAGGCAATTGGCCAGCTCGATTAGCACTGAATATCCTTGCAGGTTCAAAGCCTGGCTGGTTGCTGCCTGGGAGAAATCCTTTGTTGGGAGGTGTTAGAACTCTTGTCTGCTTGAGGCAATTGGCCAGCTTGATTAGCACTGAATATCCTTGCAGCTTCAAAGCCTGGCTGGTTACTGCCTAGAGGAAATCCTTTGTTGGGAGGTGTTAGAACTCTTGTCTGCTTGAGGCAATTGGCCAGCTCAATTAGCACTGAATAGCCTTGCAGCTTCAAAGCCTGGCTGGTTGCTGCCTGGGGGACACCCTTTGTTAGGAGGTGTTAGAACTCTTATCTGTTTGAGGCGATTGGCCAAGTCTATTAGCACTGAATGGCCTTGCAGCTTCATAGCCTGGCTGGTTGCTGCATGGGGAAAATTCTTTGTTGGGAGGTATTACAACTCTTATCTGTTTGAGGCAATTGGCCAAGTCTATTAGCACTGAATAGCCTTGCAGCTTGAAAGCCTGCCTCATTTCCACCTGGGGGAATTCTTTGTTGGGAGGTGTTAGCTGGCCCTGATTGAGTCTTGTCTGGAATTCCTGTTGTTTTTGTTTTTTTTGAGTGCTGCTCTTTCTTTACTCTCCTGATTTGAGAGTTTCTTTGAATACTGGTTGCCAGAGATTGTGTTCATGTTGATGGTTTACTTCCTTTTTGTTGATATTCTGTTGTAAGGAGGCTGTGGGTAGAGGAAGGAAACAGTGGAAGGGGAATCCAAGCTTGTGGGAGGGGGATTCGGCTGGGCTGGGCTGGCCCCCTCCTCCTCTTCCTCCTCCTCCTTCCCCCACTTTCCCCCACTTTCCCTCCCTTAGAGATGCTAATGTGGCTCTGTCTCTCCTGCCTCCTCCTCCTACTCCCTCCCTCCTCCTCCAAGGACCCTGGGCCCCAGGGATGGGATGGGACTACTACGCATCTGAGTCTGCTAACAAAAGCCTTTCCCCTTTCCTCTGCTGGCAGGCTGGGCAGCGGTGGTGCTGGGGAGAAGAAGCCAAGCAGGAGGCTGGAGTTGGAGGAGCCAAGGTGGAGGAGCGCCGTTCCCTGGGCAGGTGAGTCCCCGCTCTCTGTTTACCTGCACCTGCCTTGCTTTCTGGAGCCCCTTTTTGGGGACTTGCTCAGCCCTCTTCTTGCAAAACACCCTGACTCAGTTTCCTTCCACGGCATCTGTGCGCTTTGCGTGTATTGCATTGGCCTTGAGTCCCTGCTTCTTCGGGAGAAAGGCAGGATGGAAATAAAGTAAATCAGTGCATTGGAGTCGAACCTAACCAAGTAGATTGTGTCTTGTATTTTGAACCTTGTCCTTTCTATGTTGTACACCGCTGTGAGTCGCCCCCGGGCTGAGAACAGCGGTACATAAGCAAAGTAAATATAAATAAATAAGTAAGTAAATACATTACGTTGCCTCCTCATTCAGTGCTTTAAACTTTGCTATCAGCCCTGCCCACTGCAATTTATTTTCTTGTGTTCAAATTATTGTGATTTTTATATTGTTGTTTATTTATATTGTTCCTTGTATTTTATTTTTACTTTTATATTTTACTGTTGTATGCTGTTGTATTGTTCGGTTTGGCCTCATGTGAGCCACCTCGAGTCCCCTTGGGGAGATGGTAGTGGGGTATGGGGTATAAATAAAGTATTATTATTATTATTATTATTATTATTATTATTATTATTATTTTTATTCCATGTAAGTCGCCCTGAGTCCCCTTGGGAAGATGGTGGTGGGGTATAAATAAAGTTTATTATTATTATTACTACTAGTAGTAGTAGTTGTATTGTTGGGTTTGGCCTCATGTAAGTCGCCCTGAGTCCCCTTGGGAAGATGGTGGTGGGGTATAAATAAAGTTTATTATTATTATTACTACTACTAGTAGTAGTTGTATTGTTGGGTTTGGCCTCATGTAAGTCGCCCTGAGTCCCCTTGGGAAGATGGTGGTGGGGTATAAATAAAGTTTATTATTATTATTACTACTAGTAGTAGTAGTTGTATTGTTGGGTTTGACCTCATGTAAGTCGCCCTGAGTCCCCTTGGGAAGATGGTGGTGGGGTATAAATAAAGATTATTATTATTATTACTACTAGTAGTAGTAGTTGTATTGTTGGGTTTGGCCTCATTGGGGAGATGGTAGTGGGGTATAAATAAAGATTATTATTATTATTACTACTACTAGTAGTAGTTGTATTGTTGGGTTTGGCCTCATGTAAGTCGCCCCGAGTCCCCTTGGGAAGATGGTGGTGGGGTATAAATAAAGTTTATTATTATTATTACTACTAGTAGTAGTAGTTGTATTGTTGGGTTTGGCCTCATGTAAGTCGCCCCGAGTCCCCTTGGGAAGATGGTGGTGGGGTATAAATAAAGTTTATTATTATTATTATTATTATTATTATTATTATTATTATTATCCTGTTTTATTGATGTGTTGTTGGGCTTGGCCTCATGTAAGCCGCCCCGAGTCCCTTGGGAAGATGGTGGCGGGGTATAAATAAAATATTATTATTATTATTATTATTATTATTATTATTATCATCATCAAGCCGCCCCAAGTCCCTGTTGGGGGAGATGGTGGCGGGGTATAAATAAGATTATTATTATTATTATTATTATTATTATTATTATCATTATTATTATGTGTAGTATTGTTGGGTTTGGCCTCATGTAAGCCTCCCTGAGTCCCCTTGGGGAGATGGTGGCGGGGTATAAATAAAGATTATTATTATTATTATTATTATTATTATTATTCTGCTTAGATTGGATCAGTTTCCTTCTGGTGGGAAATCCCAATTCCTCCGAGCGGACTCAGGCCATCTGTGGGGTTTGCATGCATTCCAATGACCTTGAGTCCCTGTTTTGGGAGAAAGATAAAAAAAATAAAGTAAATAAACAAATGCTTTTGGGTCGACCCAAACATTCTGCTTGAGTTGGGACTTGCAATGAGGTCGAAGCCTCATGGCTTTGCACAATTCCTGACTTTATTGAGGAATGCATTGGAGAAGTTGGACTTTGCAAAATAGCTTTTCTGGGGCATCCATCGTGGGAGAAAGATAAAAAAATAAAGCAAGTAAATGCTTTTGTTTCGACCCAAACATTCTGCTTCAGTTGGGACTTGCAATGAAGTCGAAACCTCCTGGCTTTACACAATTCCTGACTTTATTGGGGAATGCATTGGAGAAGTTGGACTTTGCAAAATAGCTTTTCTGGGGCATCCATCGTGGGAGAAAGATAAAAAAATAAAGCAAGTAAATAAATGCTTTTGTTTCGACCCAAACATTCTGCTTCAGTTGGGACTTGCAATGAGGTCGAAGTCTCCTGGCTTTGCACAATTCCTGACTTATTGGGGAATGTATTGGAGAAGTTGGACTTTGCAAAATAGCTTTTCTGGGGCATCCATCCTCCTTTCGTTGTCGTCGTCCTCCTCCAAAAGAACACCTGCCTTGTGCGGAATCCGCTTTCCCTTTCCTCCTCCTCCTCCTCCCTCTCCCTTTGGCTGCCTTTCACTCAGCCTGGACAATGGAGGAAGGGAGAAAAGAGAGAGGGGAGGTCTCGCCAGTTGCATTGTTTCTCCCCTCTCGCTTGGGTTGGGGGTCCTTGGGCTTTGTAAGAGAAGCGTCTCGTCTCGCCGGGCTGCCAGGAGGTACAGTTCCTCATCATCCTTACTTTACAAAGGGCTTTATCCCCCTTTTAGTTGGTGCAAACATGTAGTGCAATGGGTTGTTGTAGGTTTTTTCGGGCTCTAGAGCAGTGTTTCTCAACCTTCCTAATGCCGTGACCCCTTAATACAGTCCCTCATGTTGTGTTGACCCCCAACCATAATATTGTTTTTGTTGCTACTTCGTAACACCCATTTTACTACTGTTATAAATCATAATGTCAATATCTGATATGCAGGATGCATTTTCATTCACTGGACCAAATTGGGCACAAATACCCAATACACCAGTGTTTCTCAACCTGGGGGTCGGGACCCCTGGGGGGTCGCAAGGGGGTGTCAGAGGGGTCACCAATTACCCATCAGAAAGGTGGAAGGTGAATTACATCTCCCCGAATCACTGTAAGTTCATCCCGAATCCCTCCAGTACGTTCTGTTGGTCATGGGGGTTCTATGTTGGAAGTTTGGCCCAATTCTATTGTTGTTGGGGTTCAAGGGACTTTGATTGTAGGTGAACTATAAATCCCAGCAACTCCAACTCCCAAATACAATTTTCCCAAACTCCACCAGTGTTCACATTTGGGCATATTGGGTATTCGTTCCAAGTTTGGTCCAGATCTACTATTGTTTGAGTCCACAGTGCTCTCTGGATGTAGGTGAACTACAACTCCAAAACTCAAGGTCAATGCCCACCAAACCCTTCCAGTATTTTGTACTTGGTCATAGGAGTTCTGTGTGCCAAGGTTGGTTCAGTTTCCATCATTAGTTGCATTCAGAATGCTCATTGATTGTAGGTGAACTATAAATCCCAGCAACTATAACTCACAAATGACAACATCCATTCCCTCCAACTCCATCAGTATTCAAACTTGGGTGTATTGGGTAGGTCCAGTTAATGAAAAGACATCCTGCATATCAGATATTTATGTGACAATTCACAACAGTAGCAAAATGACAGTTCTGAAGTAGCAACAAAAATAATGTAATGGTTGGGGTTCACCACAACATGAGGAACTGTATTAAGGGGTCGTGGCATTAGGATGGTTGAGAAACACTGCAATACACCCAAATGTGAATGCTAGTGAATGCTTGGGGGAGGATTGATTTTGTAATTTTGGAGTTGTAGTTGCTGGGATTTATAGTTCACTCATAATCAAAGAGCATTCTGAACTCCACCAGTGATGGATTTGAACCAAACTTGGCTCCCATGACCAATGGAAAACACTGGAAGGGTTTGATGGGCATTGACCTTGAGTTTGGGAGTTGTAGTTCACCTATATCCAGAGAGCACTGTGGACTCAAATAATAGATCTGGACCAAACTTGGCACGAATACTCAATATGCCCAAATGTGAACACTGGTGGAGTTCGGGGAGAATAGACCTTTACTTTTGGGAGTTGTAGTTGTTGGGATTTATAGTTCATTACAATCAAAGAACATTCTGAACTCCACCAACGATAGAATTGGCTCAAACTTCCCATATGGAATCCCCATGACCATCATAAAATACTGTGTTTTCTTATGGTCTTTGGTGACTCCTCTGACACCCCCTCGCGACCCCCTCAGGGGTCCCGACCCCCAGGTTGAGAAACGCTGCTCTAGAGGCATTCTCTCCTGATGTTTTGCCTGTATCTACGGCAAGCATCCTCAGAGGTTGTGAGATCTGTTGGAAACTAGGAAAATAACAACAACAACAACAACAATAATAAATTATTTATACCCCACTACCATCTAATCACCTCTCAACAAAAGATTGCCCCAGGCACCTCTCAACAAAAGATTGCTCCAGGCCATCAAATGCTAATCAAGGTGGTCAGTTGAAACATTCACCCCTAGCTCCAGCAGACAAGAGTCCTTTGTTCCAACAGACCTCACAACCTCTGAGGATGCTTGCCATAGATGCAGGCGAAACATCAGGAGAGAATGCTTCTAGAACATGGCCATACAGCCTGAAAAAACCTACAACAACCCAGTGATTCCAGCCATGAAAGCTTTCGACAATACATTTAGTGCAGAGTTTTGCTGTTGGAAAAGTCATGCTGTATTGTCGAAGGCTTTCATGGCTGGAATCACTGGGTTGTTGTAGGTTTTTTCGGGCTGTGTGGCTATGTTCTAGAACAGGGGTCCTCAAACTAAGGACCTGAAGCTTCACACACACAGTAGATTTAGTCACAACAGCTCTACACTGGAGCTTTATACACAACAGCCTTCATACTGAAGCTTTACACACAGTAAATTTAGTCACAACAGCCTTCACACTGGAGTTTGACACAGTAGCTTTCAACCTGGGGCTTCTTCTCAGACCAGGTCTTTTCATACTCTGAGGCATTCTCACAAACTAGGGCCTACTTCACACTGAGGCTTCTCTCACAGACTAAGGCCTATCTCACACTGTGAGGCCT